AGTTAAAGTCCTCACGTTTATCTTAGAGCTTGGTTGTTAGATTACCATTAACGTCTCTTTCAAGTAAAATGTACAAATTTGAAACAGATGTGTCAGACTGTGCTTCATAGTGATTGTAAACTCATTATTTACACACTGAGTTGTACATGATTTTTTCGTGTTTCACCGAACATGACAAGGAGCACACGGCAGGTGTGACCAGTCGGCAAGGGATGCTTCGCTCCATGGCACCTAATCCTACCTCTGATTTTTTTTTTCGGATGTCCGTGTTTGCTCTTCTCCAATTTTTAGATTTTGATCGTTTTTTTTTTTAGCTTTAAAGACTTTCTGAATCTTTTTTATCCGGAGGCCATAGTTCAGTGTATTGACATTGTTTTTCACAAAAGTTGATGATTAACTTTCAATATGTATTCTATTTATCGCACATTTGACTCCTTGTTTTTGATGAATCCTGGTGCCAATATCCGGATCTTCCTTCCGTTTGCTTCCTCGGTGATCACAAAATACATCGTTTAGTTGCTTTTTTACACAATGTATTTCATTTATTAGAGAGCAATATTCCACTTTATTTAGCTTCTGAAAAATTTATACTTCTGTATTTCTATATTTATGAAATTTTTACACAGAAATAAGATTTCTGGGATAAATTTTAAAATAATGTTTTACAAACACAGCACTCCAGGAATTGATCATATTTTATGATCAAGATTTCTTATTCCATGGATTTCCCTGCAAGTTATTCCCTGGAATTTTTATCTTAAGTTAAATAATTTAATCTTAACACGTCATTTGATTGGATTAAAGATTAATTTTATCTAGTATAACATAAGTTGTCTTCGTTTGATCACAATTAGTTACGTCAAAAACGTATTACTCCATTTGACTTTACTTTTAAAATATATGTTCAATTTGACGCCATTTTTGGAGGAAAAATTGTCTTTTTGTCAACACTAAAACTAAATCACAAGGATTGAATGAAGTTTATTTTAACTTTTACGATATAACGTAACTTGGGACAGTTTACGCTTTTTTATAAGTCACTTCGCGGTTAATAAGGCGTAAACTGCCTTAAATACAAGCAAATACAACTAACTGAGGGAATATACTGTAGATCACTTAATTTTCGCGTTATTTTCGCGATAGTCATTGACTCTTTATTAGCGAGACAAAATTTTCACAATTGTGGTCAATATAATCAACTAACTGAATCAAATTTTCGCATTGAATGCATAGCATCGCGTAATTACGCGAAAATAAAGTTCTCGCGAATAAAAAATGATTTACAGTACTGTAAACCAATTTTATTCGCGTTCGAGAAATTTTCGCGAGGTTTGCGATAGTCTCATCATCGCGAATATTTCTCGCCGCGAACGTGTCCTTAAAGTCTTTTTTTCTATTAAAACAGTTGTAAAAAGGATTGATCGCGAAAATAAATCGTCACAAATTAGTTTATTTTTCGGTAAATCGCGAAAAAAAAGTGGTCGCGAATAAAAGTTGGTTTACAGTATCCTTAGCAAAGAATCGAAAAAAGCACCTGCATTTCCGGTTAACGTCAATTTTTAATGTGTTTCTTCGGATAGACTTTACTAAACCGGTATCCAGAAAAACGCTCTAAAATATAGTGTCGCTAAAGTATATATATGAGATCATGTGAGCGATTGAAAAAAAACGATATTTTTTTCCTTTTTGAACCCCATATCGATTTCTACGGTTAAAACTTAAGTTGAAAACTTCTTTTTTACCTCGTTCTCTGAAAAATAATAAATACATATTGTTTATTCACAAAAATAATATTGTCAACGAAGCGCTTGCGGCGCTTGGTTACTGCCATTTCAATCGTATTTAGCCGTTTTTCTATGTATACAAACCATCAAAATGCCTAAAAGCTGAATTAAGATATTGCAAAAATTACAAAAGAAAATTAATTTCTTAATTTATTAAAAGAAACGAGTCACTAAATCTAATCTCTCGGATGGTATGCAAGGACTAAGACGTTTAGGCGAAATCTCCCGGGATTATGCTACACAGGCACTTCGCCACATAGGAGAATTATATGTGAATCATATGATTGGTTCCATATGAGAATCATAAAAAGGGCATCATATGTGAATAATATGCATATTTATATAATCACATGATTTACATATGTTATTCATATGATCCACATGTGAGTTGCCTCTTATGATACCCATATGAAAGGCAATGCATCTGTGGCTAAAATTCCTATGTAGACTAACCTCAATGAATCAAATAATGAGGGAGGACTAGCCCTAATTTCTCGGATTGATGAAACATATGGAGATAACGAACAGTAATCAATATCAAAAAATAATTAATGCGAGACTAACCCTAATCAGTTGAATACTTGTACAAGGACTAACATTAATCTCTAAGAGGGGGTGCAAGACGAAACCTAACCAGTCGAGTAGTGTGCAAGACTAACCCTTATCAGTAGAATGACATAAATATTACGTGACAGTCCAATTAGAGCGACGATATTTCGGGTCTGGGAACCGGTAAAATTAAGTCTTTATAAAGTCTTTGCACTTTCAATTAACATTGACGTAATCTAAAATCAGTTTGATTTCCATTTGCAAGATGGGAAATGTGAATTTGTTAATGTTTATTTTTTTTTGCAAAGACAGTAAATTAATCACATCTGCCAAAAAGGAATTGTTTTAGGTGCAAGGATGCGTTGTCAATTTAGCTTCCTGAAATACTCTGCTGAAGTTCAAATCCATTTTTTTTGTTAAGTCGTGATTCAGAAATCGGTTAAAAATCTGTCTGATGTTGTTTTCAAATTTGAATGTGTGTTGTTTCTCTGCATTTTTTTATTTATTAAGAACTCACTTCAGCATATGATAACATTTTGTTTTATTTTTTCTGAAAAATACAATATCACATCAATTGATCATTGCTATATATCATCATATATTCTTCATTTACAGCTAAAATTATCCTGATCATTTGGGATTACCTTAACTTTATTGAACTGTTCGATTACGATTTGCTGGGAACCGACGTTATTTTCTCTGCATATGAACCTTTTCAGAGCTTTCTTAATGGTGAATGCACTAATGCCGCAAATTTTCCCCAGGATCAGGAGCCACATCTACTCGACAAGAAATACAAATTGTCTACTTGAGAGACAGAAAAAAACACTCATCAGGCCCAAGGCGATATCTGTTCTAAATATGAGACAAAATTAGTGTTAATTCTTCTGTCAGATCACAATCTAAATTCAGGGCCAGTTCGCTAGGTTCACTCTATTGATGCTTAAGAATGCTTTAATTGTTCAAGTTCTGGGCCCAGTTTCATGTATTGGAAAACTGAACCAAAATTATAATAGCCATTGTTAATGAGTTTTTATCAATTAAGTACATGCTTTCCCATCCGGGGAATAAGAATTAGAACAAGAGGTTTCTCGTAAGTCCAATACCAATATTAGTTTTATCCTTCCCAGATTTTATGTCTGTTATTCTATACAATGTAGCTCAATTTTAGTACTGTCTGCTTTTGTAAGACTCTATTGGATTGAAAGTTTTGTTATCGAAGAGGGCAATACATTCGTTTAAGTAGAGATCGTTACAGACTCATCACTCATTTGAAGGATCTCAAAAGGCAGTTTTTATAACCATCCATTGAATAGTTTACAGATAAATGTATTAAAATAAAAACGAAGATCAATGAATAGAAACTCCCCAATACCATCCAATCCATTTTTACACAGTTCTTTCTTCCGCAAAGGAAGAAAAGATATACTATGTACTTGCCTTTGTAAGGGTACACAGTGTGTTGTAAGCACAATCATTTTACAAATAGACTCGAGTTTTTATTAATGTAACACGTTGTATAAATTCCGCTTCAGTTACCTGTAATGATTTTCGTGCTGTAAAACTTGTAATGAAACATCATCTGGAGTGAAACAAATGGAGATAACGAACAAAATGCAAGATCAAAAGTCCATAAACAATAAAAAATAAGAGCAGAGCAAATACGGACCTCCAAAACATTAGAGGTGGGATCAGGTCCCATGGAGGAGGAGCATCTCCTGCCGACTGGTCACACCCGCCATGTGTTCTTGCCATGATGGGGAAATAACGGAAAAATCAGTCGTCAATTCAGTGTATAAATAATGGCTTAAAACAATTAGTATGAAAAACGTTAGTTAGCATTTGACCCAATGAAAAACTGTATTTGCTAACAAGGTCATTGTATCAACCTTGGAACTTACGTATTTTACACAGGCGTGATTTTAAACGAGACTGTCTATATTCTTGTTTCATCAACTTGTTTTTCAATAATTTACCGTCGTTTTAGAAAATGTTCATACGTAGAGCATGCTCTTGCGTATCGAATCAACTGAGATGTATAAACTCCGTATGCAGGTGATGAATGTATATTGTTGCATAAGTAAGGGAAAGTTAAAGTCATCACGTTTATCATAGAGCTTGATAGTTACCATTAACGTCTTTTTTTTCAAGTAAAATATTTAAATATGAAACAGATGGTCAGACTTTGGGGTACCTTTTACCTCAAGCTCACCGGGATATATCGTTTCGACGTAAAAATGGAAATTCCATTGTTCATAGACAATACGTTGTCGATATATCTAAATGTCGAGTTGAAGGACACAGCAAGTTTTTTCTTCTTTTTACGTAAGATTTTGAACAAATTCTGCTTCATATGAAAACAAAACGTGGCTTGTGGTATCTTCAACTTTTATATCTATTTTAGTTTACTCGTACACACATGGAAAGAGTGAGGGGAATAGTACTTTATCTTAATTTGAAAGATATGGAGATAACGGACAGTATTCAATATCAAAGTCCATAAAACAATACAAAATAGGAGCAGAGCAAACACGAACCTTCAAAACATCAGAGGTGGGATCAGGTGCCATGGAGGAGTTAGAATGTTTTCTATTTCCGCTAACTCGTGTTACATATTGAAAGAGACGATGGAATACAATTTTATCTTAGAATTGTTTTCTATTTCAGCGTACACGTGTCCGGACCGTCAGCCTGAGGTGGGTCGTGAGTGTCAGAAGTCGTGTCACCCCGAGGACAGTCCCTGTAAGAGTGCCAGGAAGACGTGCCGGTGTGATGGGGACTGTGGATACAGCTGTATCAATCAGAGTAGGTCTAGAGTGTTTTATACAGGTGTGATGAGACTGTGGATATAGCTGTATCAATCAGAGTAGGTGTCTCTTGTTTTACACAGGTGTGATGACTGTGGATATAGCTGTATCAATCAGAGTAGGTGTAGAGTGTTTTACACAGGTGTGATGGGGACTGTGGATATAGCTGTATCAATCAGAGTAGGTGTAGAGTGTTTTATACAGGTGTGATGAGACTGTGGATATAGCTGTATCAATCAGAGTAGGTGTAGAGTGTTTTACACAGGTGTGATGGGGACTGTGGATATAGCTGTATCAATCAGAGTAGGTGTAGAGTGTTTTATACAGGTGTGATGAGACTGTGGATTTAGCTGTATCAATCAGAGTAGGTGTAGAGTGTTTTACACAGGTGTGATGAGACTGTGGATATAGCTGTATCAATCAGAGTAGGTGTAGAGTGTTTTATACAGGTGTGATGGGGACTGTGGATATAGCTGTATCAATCAGAGTAGGTGTAGAGTGTTTTACACAGGTGTGATGAGACTGTGGATATAGCTGTATCAATCAGAGTAGGTGTAGAGTGTTTTACACAGGTGTGATGGGGACTGTGGATATAGCTGTATCAATCAGAGTAGGTGTAGAGTGTTTTATACAGGTGTGATGGAGACTGTGGATATAGCTGTATCAATCAGAGTAGGTGTCTCTTCTTTTACACAGGTGTGATGAGACTGTGGATATAGCTGTATCAATCAGAGCAGGTGTAGAGTGCTTTATACAGGTGTGATGGAGACTGTGGATATAGCTCTATTAATCAGAGTAGGTGTCCCTTGTTTAACACAGGTGTGATGAGACTGTGGATATAGCTGTATCAATCAGAGTAGGTGTAGTGTTTTACACAGGTGTGATGAGACTGTGGATATAGCTGTATCAATCAGAGTAGGTGTAGAGTGTTTTACACAGGTGTGATGGGGACTGTGGATATAGCTGTATCAATCAGAGTAGGTGTAGAGTGTTTTATACAGGTGTGATGGAGACTGTGGATATAGCTGTATCAATCAGAGTAGGTGTAGTGTTTTATACAGGTGTGATGAGACTGTGGATATAGCTGTATCAATCAGAGTAGGTGTAGAGTGCTTTATACAGGTGTGATGGAGACTGTGGATATAGCTCTATTAATCAGAGTAGGTGTCCCTTGTTTTACACAGGTGTGATGAGACTGTGGATATAGCTGTATCAATCAGAGTAGGTGTAGAGTGTTTTACACAGGTGTGATGAGACTGTGGATATAGCTGTATCAATCAGAGTAGGTGTAGAATGTTTTACACAGGTGTGATGGGGACTATGGATATAGCTGTATCAATCAGAGTCGGTGTAGAGTGTATTACACAGGTGTGATGGAGACTGTGGATATAGCTGTATCAATCAGAGTAGGTGTAGTGTTTTATACAGGTGTGATGAGTCTGTGGATATAGCTGTATCAATCAAAGTAGGTGTAGAGTGTTTTACACAGGTGTGATGGGGACTATAGATATAGCTGTATCAATCAGAGTAGGTGTAGAGTGTTTTACACAGGTGTGATGAGACTGTGGATATAGCTGTATCAATCAGAGTAGGTGTAGAGTGTTTTACACAGGTGTGATGGGGACTATAGATATAGCTGTATCAATCAGAGTAGGTGTACAGTGTTTTACACAGGTGTGATGAGACTGTGGATATAGCTGTATCAATCAGAGTAGGTGTAGAGTGTTTTACACAGGTGTGATGGGGACTGTGGATATAGCTGTATCAATCAGAGTAGGTGTAGAGTGTTTTACACAGGTGTGATGAGACTGTGGATATAGCTGTATCAATCAGAGTAGGTGTAGAGTGTTTTATACAGGTGTGATGAGACTGTGGATATAGCTGTATCAATCAGAGTAGGTGTAGAGTGTTTTATACAGGTGTGATGAGACTGTGGATATAGCTGTATCAATCAGAGTAGGTGTAGAGTGTTTTACACAGGTGTGATGAGACTGTGGATATAGCTGTATCAATCAGAGTAGGTGTAGAGTGTTTTATACAGGTGTGATGGGGACTGTGGATATAGCTGTATCAATCAGAGTAGGTGTAGAGTGTTTTACACAGGTGTGATGGGGACTGTGGATATAGCTGTATCAATCAGAGTAGGTGTAGAGTGTTTTACACAGGTGTGATGGGGACTGTGGATATAGCTGTATCAATCAGAGTAGGTGTAGAGTGTTTTATACAGGTGTGATGGAGACTGTGGATATAGCTGTATCAATCAGAGTAGGTGTCTCTTCTTTTACACAGGTGTGATGAGACTGTGGATATAGCTGTATCAATCAGAGCAGGTGTAGAGTGCTTTATACAGGTGTGATGGAGACTGTGGATATAGCTCTATTAATCAGAGTAGGTGTCCCTTGTTTAACACAGGTGTGATGAGACTGTGGATATAGCTGTATCAATCAGAGTAGGTGTAGTGTTTTACACAGGTGTGATGAGACTGTGGATATAGCTGTATCAATCAGAGTAGGTGTAGAGTGTTTTACACAGGTGTGATGGGGACTGTGGATATAGCTGTATCAATCAGAGTAGGTGTAGAGTGTTTTATACAGGTGTGATGGAGACTGTGGATATAGCTGTATCAATCAGAGTAGGTGTAGTGTTTTATACAGGTGTGATGAGACTGTGGATATAGCTGTATCAATCAGAGTAGGTGTAGAGTGCTTTATACAGGTGTGATGGAGACTGTGGATATAGCTCTATTAATCAGAGTAGGTGTCCCTTGTTTTACACAGGTGTGATGAGACTGTGGATATAGCTGTATCAATCAGAGTAGGTGTAGAGTGTTTTACACAGGTGTGATGAGACTGTGGATATAGCTGTATCAATCAGAGTAGGTGTAGAATGTTTTACACAGGTGTGATGGGGACTATGGATATAGCTGTATCAATCAGAGTCGGTGTAGAGTGTATTACACAGGTGTGATGGAGACTGTGGATATAGCTGTATCAATCAGAGTAGGTGTAGTGTTTTATACAGGTGTGATGAGACTGTGGATATAGCTGTATCAATCAAAGTAGGTGTAGAGTGTTTTACACAGGTGTGATGGCGACTATAGATATAGCTGTATCAATCAGAGTAGGTGTAGAGTGTTTTACACAGGTGTGATGAGACTGTGGATATAGCTGTATCAATCAGAGTAGGTGTAGAGTGTTTTACACAGGTGTGATGGGGACTGTGGATATAGCTGTATCAATCAGAGTAGGTGTAGAGTGTTTTACACAGGTGTGATGAGACTGTGGATATAGCTGTATCAATCAGAGTAGGTGTAGAGTGTTCTATACAGGTGTGATGAGACTGTGGATATAGCTGTATCAATCAGAGTAGGTGTAGAGTGTTTTACACAGGTGTGATGGGGACTGTGGATATAGCTGTATCAATCAGAGTAGGTGTAGAGTGTTTTATACAGGTGTGATGAGACTGTGGATATAGCTGTATCAATCAGAGTAGGTGTAGAGTGTTTTACACAGGTGTGATGGAGACTGTGGATATAGCTGTATCAATCAGAGTAGGTGTAGAGTGTTTTATACAGGTGTGATGACTGTGGATATAGCTGTATCAATCAGAGTAGGTGTAGAGTGTTTTACACAGGTGTGATGAGACTGTGGATATAGCTGTATCAATCAGAGTAGGTGTAGAGTGTTTTATACAGGTGTGATTGGGACTGTGGATATAGCTGTATCAATCAGAGTAGGTGTAGAGTGTTTTACACAGGTGTGATGGTGACTGTGGATATAGCTGTATCAATCAGAGTAGGTGTAGAGTGTTTTACACAGGTGTGATGAGACTGTGGATATAGCTCTATCAATCAGAGTAGGTGTAGAGTGTTTTATACAGGTGTGGTGAGATTGTGGATATAGCTGTATCAATCAGGGTAGGTGTAGAGTGTTTTACACAGGTGTGATGGGGACTGGATATAGCTGTTCAATCAGAGTAGGTGTAGAGTGTTTTACACAGGTGTGACGGGGAGGGGACTGTGGATATAGCTGTATCAATCAGAGTAGGTGTAGAGTGTTTTACACAGGTGTGATGGGGACTGTGGATATAGCTGTATCAATCAGAGTAGGTGTAGAGCGTTTTATACAGGTGTGATGGGGACTATAGATATAGCTGTATCAGTCAGAGTAGGTGTAGAGTGTTTTACACAGATGTGATGGAGACTGTGGATATAGCTGTATCAATCAGAGTAGATGTAGAGTGTTTTGCACAGGTGTGACGGGGAGGGGACTGTGGATATAGCTGTATCAATCAGAGTAGGTGTAGAGTGTTTTACACAGGTGTGACGGGGACTGTGGATATAGCTGTATCAATCAGAGTAGGTGTAGATTGTTTTATACAGGTGTGATGGGGAGGGGACTGTGGATATAGCTGTATCAATCAGAGTAGGTGTAGAGTGTTTTATACAGGTGTGATGGGGACTATAGATATAGCTGTATCAATCAGAGTAGGTGTAGAGTGTTTTACACAGGTGTGATGGAGACTGTGGATATAGCTGTATCAATCAGAGTAGATGTAGAGTGTTTTACACAGGTGTGACGGGGAGGGGACTGTGGATATAGCTGTATCAATCAGAGTAGGTGTAGAGTGTTTTACACAGGTGTGATGGGGACTGTGGATATAGCTGTATCAATCAGAGTAGGTGTAGAGTGTTTTACACAGGTGTGACGGGGACTGTGGATATAGCTGTATCAATCAGAGTAGGTGTAGATTGTTTTATACAGGTGTGATGGGGAGGGGACTGTGGATATAGCTGTATCAATCACAGTATGTGTAGTGTTTTACACAGGTGTGATGGGGAAGGGACTGTGGATATAGCTCTATCAATCAGAGTAGGTGTAGAGTGTTTTATACAGGTGTGATGAGACTGTGGATATAGCTGTATCAATCAGAGTAGGTGTAGAGTGTTTTATACAGGTGTGATTAGACTGTGGATATAGCTGTTCAATCAGAGTAGGTGTAGAGTGTTTTACACAGGTGTCACGGGGAGGGGACTGTGGATATAGCTGTATCAATCAGAGTAGGTGTAGAGTGTTTTACACAGGTGTGATGGGGACTGTGGATATAGCTGTATCAATCAGAGTAGGTGTAGAGTGTTTTATACAGGTGTGATGGGGACTATAGATATAGCTGTATCAATCAGAGTAGGTGTAGAGTGTTTTACACAGGTGTGATGAAGACTGTGGATATAGCTGTATCAATCAGAGTAGATGTAGAGTGTTTTACACAAGTGTGACGGGGAGGGGACTGTGGATATAGCTGTATCAATCAGAGTAGGTGTAGAGTGTTTTACACAGGTGTGATGGGGACTGTGGATATATCTGTATGAATCAGAGTAGGTGTAGAGTGTTTTACACAGGTGTGATTGTGGATATAGCTGTATCAATCAGAGTAGGTGTAGATTGTTTTATACAGGTGTGATGGGGAGGGGACTGTGGATATAGCTGTATCAATCACAGTATGTGTAGTGTTTTACACAGGTGTGATGGGGAGGGGACTGTGAATATAGCTCTATCAATCAGAGTAGGTGTAGAGTGTTTTACACAGGTGTGATGGGGAGGGGACTGTGGATATAGCTGTATCAATCAGAGTAGGTGTAGAGTGTTTTATACAGGTGTGATGGGGACTGGATATAGCTGTATCAATCAGAGTAGGTGTAGAGGGTTTTACACAGGTGTGATGGTGACTGTGGATATAGCTGTATCAATCAGAGTAGGTGTAGAGTGTTTTACACAGGTGTGATGGGGACTGTGGATATAGCTGTATCAATCAGAGTAGGTGTAGAGTGTTTTATACAGGTGTGGTGAGACTGTGGATATAGCTGTATCAATCAGGGTAGGTGTAGAGTTTTACACAGGTGTGATGGGGACTGGATATAGCTGTATCAATCAGAGTAGGTGTAGAGTGCTTTATACAGGTGTGATGGGGACTATAGATATAGTTGTATCAATCAGAGTAAGTGTAGAGTGTTTTACACAGGTGTGATGGGGACTGTGGATATATCTTTATCAATCAGAGTAGGTGTAGTGTTTTATACAGGTGTGATGAGACTGTGGATATAGCTCTATCAATCAGAGTAGATGTAGAGTGTTTTACACAGGTGTGACGGGGAGGGGACTGTGGATGTAGCTGTATCAATCAGAGTAGGTGTAGAGTGTTTTACACAGGTGTGATGGGGACTGTGGATATATCTGTATCAATCAGAGTAGGTGTAGAGTGTTTTACACAGGTGTGACGGGGACTGTGCATATAGCTGTATCAATCAGAGTAGGTGTAGATTGTTTTATACAGGTGTGATGGGGAGGGGACTGTGGATATAGCTGTATCAATCAGAGTGGGTGTAGAGTGTTTTATACAGGTGTGATGGGGACTATAGATATAGCTGTATCAATCAGAGTAGGTGTAGAGTGTTTTACACAGGTGTGATGGAGACTGTGGATATAGCTGTATCAATCAGAGTAGATGTAGAGTGTTTTACACAGGTGTGACGGGGAGGGGACTGTGGATATAGCTGTATCAATCAGAGTAGGTGTAGAGTGTTTTACACAGGTGTGATGGGGACTGTGGATATAGCTGTATCAATCAGAGTAGGTGTAGAGTGTTTTACACAGGTGTGACGGGGACTGTGGATATAGCTGTATCAATCAGAGTAGGTGTAGATTGTTTTATACAGGTGTGATGGGGAGGGGACTGTGGATATAGCTGTATCAATCAGAGTAGGTGTAGAGTGTTTTACACAGGTGTGATGGGGACTGTGGATATAGCTGTATCAATCAGAGTAGGTGTAGAGTGTTTTACACAGGTGTGATGGGGACTGGATATAGCTGTATCAATCAGAGTAGGTGTAGAGTGTTTTACACAGGTGTGATGAGACTGTGGATATAGCTGTATCAATCAGAGTAGGTGTATAGTGTTTTACACAGGTGTGATGAGACTGTGGATATAGCTGTATCAATCAGAGTAGGTGTAGAGTGTTTTATACAGGTGTGATGAGACTGTGGATATAGCTGTATCAATCAGAGTAGGTGTAGAGTGTTTTACACAGGTGTGATGGGGACTGGATATAGCTGTATCAATCAGAGTAGGTGTAGAGTGTTTTACACAGGTGTGATGGGGAGGGGACTGTGGATATAGCTGTATCAATCAGAGTAGGTGTATAGTGTTTTACACAGGTGTGATGAGACTGTGGATATAGCTGTATCAATCAGAGTAGGTGTATAGTGTTTTACACAGGTGTGATGAGACTGTGGATATAGCTGTATCAATCAGAGTAGGTGTAGAGTGTTTTACACAGGTGTGATGGGGACTGGATATAGCTGTATCAATCAGAGTAGGTGTAGAGTGTTTTACACAGGTGTGATGGGGAGGGGACTGTGGATATAGCTGTATCAATCAGAGTAGGTGTAGAGTGTTTTACAGAGGTGTGATGGGGACTGTGGATATAGCTGTATCAATCAGAGTAGGTGTAGAGTGTTTTACACTACCACCTTCTGATACAGGATTGTTAATGAATTTATTACAAATATATGTTATATATTTATGGTTCGGACACCTTCCTAATCTGGATAGCTAGTCACCTTCGTGCCCTGTAATTTATTTCTTAAAGCCTTCTCTGTTGGTTTGTTGAACGTCCCTTCGAGAAAATTTCACTCTTATGCCAGCACCTACTGCGACACGGGACCTCGAATTCTACGGCCTCATACAGACTCTAAAACAAACGTTCTATACAACTGGGTTACGCGCGCGCGTGATATTTGTAAAGCAGTCTTCATACGGTGGGCGATGCCGGTAAACATCCTCTATTCGTTCCATATTTCTTGGTTTCTATGCAACTAAAAGGTAAAGATAACGAACAGACATAGATTTCAAAAACAAAAAATATATTTACAGCACTCATTTATAAAAAGGGCATATTTTACGGATTCCCGGAAATCTAGACAGGATTTGGAGCTTCGGAGGAGTTAATATCCTCTAACTGCAAAGTAATATACCCCAACTATTAATGGAACTTTTTGGAGATAACTTCTTTTGGGTTCTGCAGGAAATTTGTATTTTTAATGGAAAGCTATAAACTAACACCTCAAGGTCACAGTACCATTATGATGGTTGTTTGAAATCTTTTAACAAATGGATATAAATAAAAATATATCATTCTGAAAGTTATTGTTTTACCGCTAGTCTTTTCTTTATACTGACGATAGAATTCTTCACTTTGCGAGTCACTCCTAGAAGCTCCACTTCTTTTATTTTACATTAGTATAGGGAAAAAAGCACAGAAAATACTTTTACGATAATTTTTTACAGATCACAGATGTGAGAAGTTGGAGAAGACAATTCCCAATGGCCGGGTGGACATCAATCCCCAGAATATGTTCGGAGGGATCGCTACTTATGAATGTGACTGGGGATACGAGATTCAGGGTCAAAAGGACCGGGTGTGTCAGGGAGACGAAAAGTGGGGAGGAGAGGCCCCTAAATGTGTCTTATCCAAAGGGAGCGGTAGGTGTATATTACAGACCCCCAAAATGCAACAGAATATTAACCCTCTGAAAGACAAGGTTTACGAGCTATGATAAAACATCTTTGAAGGTGTAGTGATAATTTAATAATGTGATTATGGAAGCCGGCGTAAAAACTTCTACAGACAATGGAACATGAATTTAATGTTCCTGGACGTTTGGTTTGATTTTTAATGTTATTTTGATTTTTAACATTTTTAATGGCATTCTCCTAAAGTAGTTCTTATTTTAACATCCATGTTTATAAAGACAAAGAAGGATGTGGGTCCCCACCAAAAATAGACTTTGCCACACATAATGGCAGAGAACTCGGCCCGGGGGAGAGGTATCCCTCAGGAACTATGCTGCAGTACTCCTGTAACAAGGACTACAGGAAAAACCCAGATAACGTGGAAAGAGCCTGGTGTATTGTGGGTGGGGAGTGGGTTGGACCAAAAATGACCTGTCAAGGTAGGTCGTTTTTATGCTTAAATTTAAGCATACACATTTTTATGGCTATTCACATTGATGTTTTAAATCAATATTGGGATGTAAAAACTATGATTTCGGCCCTTTTCCTACTTCATCAGCTGCTGGATGCCCTAAACCTCCAGAGCCGCTTAACGGGGGAATCATCATTCCCGCCTCTACTGGAGTCAACTCAAAAGTCCAGTACTTCTGTAATCCGGGCTTTTATCTCACCGGAAGGTCAGAACGCACCTGTCAATCAGACAGCACGTGGGAGGGAGACGAGCCTCGATGTGAAAAAGGTGGGAGTGGTGAGCTATTTTTGTGGATTTCTACTTTAACCTATCTTGGCTTGATTTTTATTGATTAGATTTCATGGATGTGAAAATTTTAATATTATGTCAATGAACATTCTTTAAACACATGCACAGTATCTTAATTGTATGGAAATTAAAGGTACATAATTTTACATATTACATTATTTGTGTGCAACTACGTGTATCTCACTGCCAAAATAAATATTGAAAGCAATGATTTTTCTAATTGCTTATGAAACATGAAGAAACCTGTGGCCGCCCGCCGTATGTTGAGAGAGCTTTCCATGACTCTGGTGAGATAGAGAGGTTCCCTGTGGGGACTCAGATCCAGTACCGGTGTCAGGAGGGATTCATGCTGACAGATCGGTACGCCAACAGCCGCGCGGTGTGTGAGCGGGGAGAGAGGTGGGAGGGGCCACGAATGTCCTGTAAACGTGAGTATCCCTTAAAGTTCCACAGCAGATAATTGTTACCATATGGCTTGGAAGTATATTCAACTTATCATTATTAGCATTCTAAATATTAATTTAATCTCTTTAAAATTAAATTCAAAATTTTAACCCTGAATTATGCATGAAAAACCATATAACATCCTTGACAAATATGGCTTACTATCATACATGAATATAAAGTCTTAAAGATCTATTTCATTTTAGCGGTTGAGTGTGGATTTCCCTATACAGTAGAGAATGGTCATATCGAGGGAATAGACTTTACCTACCCTCACTCCGTCAGGTTTGTGTGTCGGGAAGGCTACAGACTGATAGGGAATGAGACTTCAACGTGTCAAGCAAACGGCCAGTGGTCCTCCGAGTCCCCAAGCTGTGTGGGTAAGTGATAGGCAAGATGTTAAATCCAACTTCCTTGACTCCCTGTTCTGTAACCCATATTGCCTCCTACCTATGAATTAACCAATCTGTTCTTTCTTAATTCTGAAAAACATCAAAGATTTTTATGGAGTTTTATTTAGTCTGAAGATATCTTAGAATATGTGCCCTTTTTTGCTTTACTTTAGCAATCGACTGTCCAATCCTTAAGTTCCCCGAGGGTGGGAGAATACGGGGTTCCGGAAACGCTTTTGGCACCGTCCTTCGGTTTGAGTGTGACGCAGGTTTACAGCTTGAGGGCTCCATTGAAAGACGCTGTATGGAAAACGGGGAATGGAGCGGAAATGACGTCAGCTGTACAGGTATGTGATCAAAATCCCCGGATCAAAATTTAATAAAAGTAGGAGGCAAATGGGTTATATTTCATATGAAGAATATTTGCAAAAGAGTTATATCAGATGATCAACTGAATTCTTTTCTTGTCTCTAAAGCAGAAATTGACTGTGGTTGGCCGAAGAACTTTTGGAATGGTTACGTTTTAGGAGAAAAGACAACACTTGGATCTACATTATTTTTCAGGTAAACATGGATAGCTGAATGATCAATTAATTTATGTCAATGAAGAAACATTATCACTTTGAGTACCAGGTCATGCTTTACTGCAAATAAACTGAGAGAACTCACAAAGAGAGTTTCTGAAGAGAACTTAGTTTCCTTAGAACATATTGGTATGGATAGAATATATGAGTTATTTCCATTAAATTAAGGTGTAAAACTAATATAAATAGATTATCAAAATTTTCAACCTCTACTACTTTTGAAATAAAAAGATCATGGCTCTACAGATTTTTATCATTTGTGAAAAATACAAAGCAGAATCATTGAAAAAAATCTGCCCGTCTTTTGAGAAAACAGTCTACGATAGTGTTTATATGTGAAATGTAACTTTCCTAAAAATGGAGATATCGAAGAACATTCGAGCTTTAAGCGCATTAAAACACTACAAATTGGGAGCAGATCAAACAAGGACTTCTGAAGACATCAGAAGTGGATTCAGTTAACATGAAGGAGTAATGATCCCCTGTCGACCGTGAGCTTCTTGTCTTTTTTAGCAGGGACAATGTTCGATAGTGTTTGTGTAATGTATCTTTCATTAATTTTCTGTTAAGAACAGGTGCTTACGCACGATGGTGTTTATATCGAGTGATTGAAGTTGATATTATTTATATTTTGTATGTTGTGAACACAGGCACTTGGGGTATGGACCCCACCCCCACCCCCTTTCCATTAAAACAGCTTGTATAGACAAAAGAGTTTCAGTATTGATAACATATAGTGCATATTAGAATAGAAAAATAGGGAAAAGGTGACTCGAACTCGGATTAAAAATAGAAAAAGTGAAAAAAAAGGGGGGGGATTCCATACCCCAAGTGATTGTGGTTGTGAAGGCTTCTTGTGATACTATTTAGCATTCTAAGAATAAGTTATGTTTTCTATTTGTATATTTTGAGGGCAATATGTTATACTGTTTCTGTTTTAGAATTTTATGTGATGTTTCTGGTTTTGTATTCTAAAGTCCACATTCGATGATGCTTCAGTTTTGAAGACACATTGTTTTGCTTTGTTTTGTTTTGAGGAGACTGTGGAGTCTATATATAAGTGATATGTGGGTTAAGTTTGATATAGATGTCGTTTGTTCGTGAAGATAACACAAAAATTTAGTTACTTCAAAAATATCCAAGCAGTACACAAATATGATAAAGAAATTAAAAAGACTACACTACATGAACAAATGTTATTGATCTGGCAGGAAAAAAAATTAAAAATTTTGTTCGCAATATTATAACTGTATTTTAGAAAAACTTAGTTCTATTTTACGTCTGGAAATCCAACGTATACATACAGTGAACTTAGAATCCTTAGAATTAATTTCTTCAAATGAAACATACGGAGATAACGAATCAGTATTCAAGACCAAAGTCCATTAAACAATATAAAACAGGAGTAGAGCAAACACGGACCTCCAAAACATCAGACGTGGGATCAGGTGTCATCAAAATCAGAATAAGTTGTTTAAATCTTTTAACATTTCAGTCAACAAAAGGACTTATTATCTACACTACATTTACTGGATTCCTAAACTTGACAAATCTCTTTACAAGTAAAGACACATTGCCGTTTTCAGCAATTGTCATCATAAGCCCCTATTTTTTCTTGACTTTAAAAGAGAAGCTTCATGAGTTAAACAAGAAACTTCATTGAGTACATTGAGACATTCTTCAATAAATATGGAAGTTGGAAATTTTCACATTGTTCTTAACACATGTTATTAAAGTACACAAATACACACCGAAGTTGATATTAAAAGGATGCTTAAATTTCTTATTGACAACAGTTATGTGTTTTATGGAGAGCAGGTCACTCGGCAAACTGTTTGAATTCCGTTGTGCACTAATTGTGCTTCCCTTACTAGATGATATTTCTTGTTTTCTTATGCGGCAGAAATTATTCATAAACTTCGTCATGAAAAGAAGAAATAGGTTGTGCCTTCAAATCGTTATTCGGACATATCGAAGACGATTTATCAACTTACATAAAAAAAAACTTCCATTCATGTTGGTTCAATATATCCATGTGAACTTGGAAGAAGAGACACCACAGTATGTTACACCTGTGTTTTACAGACGAAAGGGGTCAAATTATTACTTTATTGTTCTGAGTTCACTTCTCCAATGTCAACTTTTCAATTCTTGTTTATGTAGTTATGTTTCGTTATCATTTGCATATGGTGTAGACATCTCCAAATACTGTTCCAGAGCATGCATGCTCTTAGTACGATAAATTTTATAGACGTTATAAAGACTTCCTTCGATAATTTTTAACTAACCAAGATCATGGAGTCGTATTTTGTCTCATGTGTTTTATACCAGATGTTCATAGTAAATTTTACATCAGAAGGTTTCATCTACTTGATCAATATAATGGACTCACGGCGGGTGTGAACGGTCAACGGGAATGGTTACTCCTACGTACCTGGCCCACCTTTTGAGTTTCTGAGGGTTCATGGTTTATGCCTTGTGTAGTTTGTAGATTATTTTTAGATCGAACGCTGTTTGATATTTTAATCCTTTCCATATCTGGAAAACTATCCATGTTTCTGGTTTTGAGGACTAAAATAAAGATACTTTTTCTTACTCGTAAAGATTATACAATGTATTTGATTATTCTTTCGAAGAAAGTATTGGTGTAGAATCATCTTTGATGCGTCTGCTTAAAATGTATGATAAATAAGAAAATAACGAACGGAAAGCAAACTCTAAGTATTAAAACATACAAACTGGAAGCAGAGCAAACATGAACCTCTAAAAACATCAGGTTAGATCAGCTACCACGTATCATGTGGTAATATTCGATTATTTCTTGTAGTGAACACTTTGAATATAATTCTGATATTTTTTTATATTTATCGTAAGGGTCATATTATGGTTTGATTTAGTTGAATATTGTCGACGTTATTTGATATTATTTTTAGTGTTGTATGATGAGGACTGTATCTGATACTGTGTCTATTTTAGTTGTGTCGTTAGAACAACTTTTGATGGTCCGTACTTTGAGACGAAGTGTTTGAGTAATGGACAATGGTCGAATGCACCGCCGACCTGTTGGGGTGAGTACCTTTCTGTGGAAGTACTTTTAGTCACATCATTTTTTCTTCAACTTAAGCTTTTTCAAAGTATTTTTTTCTTTCTGATTTAAAAATATCCATAAGCATATCTAAAAAAAAAATTTAACTAGATTAAGAAGAGAAAACTCTAATCTTTTTAATTTGTTCAGTTCGTTAACAAACCTATTTTTTAGGTCAGTGTTCGATTCCAAACATCGAGAATGCAGAAGTTCAGGGTTATCCCATAGGAACATGGATTAACCACGGGAGCACCTTTGAGTACAACTGTAAAAATGGACTGGTCCCAATAAAGTCACGCATTGTGACGTGTTATAACGGAACCTTTACCCCTAGCACCCCTAAATGCGTTCCAGGTAATACACCTTCAGTACTTACAAAGGCATAATCCGCATAATTTTTTTTGTTTCAATGATATTTTAAATTTCTTATACCCATAACTTTACATAAGCCTTCTCCTTTGAAATCAAGGAATTAACCATGCAATTAGATTTATTCTCTTACCACATGAAAAATGGATAATAAGCATTTTTGTAATATTACATCTGTGTATGTTTGATTATTATACTGAAACAGTGTGTGAATAACACAAGTTAAAAAAAATTGATATACCTTTATGAAGTTGATGATAATGATATTAACAGCTCCTTGTCCATCGCCCCCACCCCATGTACAGAATGGCATACGACTTTTCATTGGTCAGGAGCATGGGCGCAGGGCGCGTTACATTTGCAATAATGGATTTATACTGAGAGAGATGAACCAGGATTCTCCCTTTCTTATTTGTGACAAAGGAAAATGGACCGGTGGTAATCCAAGATGCGACGAATGTGAGATTTCATCTTTGTTTTCTTTTTAAGATTAGTTTAAATTTATATATTAACATTTGGTTTTTCTTTTCCCTTAGCTAATTATGAAATTATTTTATAGGCACATTTCTAATAAAGACATATGAAATCTCATACAGCAAATTAAAAGTTATCTTTCTTAGCTAATACTCTAAAAGCTATTCCTGTGTAAAATTTTCACTTCTTTTTTTTACTCTAATTAAAAGTATCACCTGAAGCACTCACGAATCTTTACTTTATTCATTGTGAGGGTAGTATTTTTTTTTTATCGTATTCCTCTTTTGCAGTTTTTTGTCCAAATCCCCGGACAATATCAAATGGAAAAATCATCAAAAAGGAACCACAAAATCTTCGGTTCAACTTCCCTCCATACGTAACAACGATAAAGCACGGTCAGAGACTGGAATTTCAATGTGACCCCGGATATGTGGTTAACGGAGCCAGTGGCGCCACCTGTATCAATGGAGAGTGGATCCCCCCGCTAGGGGACGCAGGTTCGCATTGTAAGCCGCAACAGTACCTCCCCCTACCCCGTCTGTGGACCCCCCGACCAGACAAGAACTTCTACGAGCCCTGAGAAATGAAATCATAATCTGTCAAGGCGTTATGGAACAGATTCATTTCAGTGCCTTTCCAAAAAGTGTCTTCGTGCAGTTTTAATCTCTGTCATTATAACCTTATCATCTCTCATTCTTTTTATCACACATTAATCAAAAGGAAACAGTAACATTTTAACGCTTGAATATATTTTACATTTACAATGTTTCTTGTAAATTAATAAAGATTGAAATGGTTTTGTAACGTAGCTAAGGAAACTATGTTAACGTTGTACTAAGTGATCAAGAAAAAAATAGTTTTGTTTGTTTCAGGGTAGATATATAGAGTTTATTATTTTGATTTACTTTTGGGTTTTTTATCTTTAGATTTTTAATATAGAGTTAAATGTGTTTTTAATTTTTTTTTTTTTTACATAAAATCATTTATGTATTATTTGGCGAACGTTTTTATTTTTTCAAATGTTTTTATCTTACTTTTTCTGCATAAAAAAAATTTCAATCTGTCCTGGAAAACGGTTAAAAAACTTACTTTTCTTCGTGTATCTACTTTCATGTTTTTGTCTGTTATATTTGAAATAAATAAAAAACTACACTCAGATCATAGGTTTGGTGTCTTTCATGAAAAACAAAAATTTACAAAAAAAAAACAAACTTTGTTCTTGTAGTAGAATTTTCTGTATATTATGTATAAAATGACATTCACATGAACTTCGAATGTCGCTGCAAAGAATTTTTTTTAATTTATGCATAATTATACTAATAAGCATAACGGATTAAATCCACTACAACGAAATACATGTATGTGTATTATATTCTGTGAATGTTAAAATACATTCATGCTGAAGTAAGTCAATAAGCACACAAGTACAGAACAAATGGTTAATAAAAAAAATGAATTGGGCATCGTTTTAAGGGCTTGGCATTCATGTGAAAAAAAATTAGCATTAGTATATCAAAAGAAAATATATGGAGGTAACGAACAGTATTCAAGATCAAAAGTCCATAAAACAATACAAAATGAGGGCAGAGCAAACATGGACCTCCAAAACATCAGAGGTGTGATCAGGTGTCATAGAGGAGTGAGCATCCCCTGTAGACCGGTCACACGCCCCGTGCTTTCTTTGTTATAATCTGGAAATGACGCGAAAATCCGTGGACAATTCAGTGTGTTTTTATAATGGTCTAACAATTGGTATAAAAACGTTAATAACCATTTGACTCAATGATAAATCGTATTTGCTGACAAGGTCATTGTATTGACCATTGAATCTACGAAATCATGATTTTAAAAGAGACTGTTGATATTCTAATTTTTTCATCAACTTGTTTGTAAATAATTTTCTCGTTTTAGAAATTGTTCATACGTAGAGCATGCTCTTCGTATCGAATCAACTGAGATATATAAACTCCGTATGCAAGTGATGAAGGGATATTGCTGCATAAGGGAAGTTGACGACAGAAAAATGAAAGGCATCACGTTTATCATAGAGTTTGGTTGTTGAGTGCCTTTAACGTCTTTTTCAAGTAAAATATAAAGTATGAAACAAAATTGTTAATTTTTATTTTATGTTATGTTGATTTGAAATTTAAATTAAGAATTGACTTAAGTCAAAATTTCAAATCAATATAACATGAAATAAAAATTAACAATTTTGTTGGAGATCAGAGACCATAAACACCTATAGAACGTTTTGATGTTATTGATTTTAGTAACATTTAAGTACTAGTATTTCAAATTTTCTATAACTTCTAGAGTATCCACATCTGATTTACACAACTTCTCGAATATATTGTTGCACAATACTCCTGAAGTTTCTCCTTCCCTTCACATTTTAGTGATCAGTCAAGAATGAAACTTAAAGAAACCAATATAGGTATGGTAATTCAAATATCATTTTATTGATTGGAATATCAAACAGTTTTTAAAACTGCATGACGTAATTTTGAAGAATTCTCTCATGAACTAGGGAGGTATGAGTAAAAGTTGGACTACCACTTGCAGAATTACAACCCATTTCCTCTACAATACATTTAAAACATTGTGCTTACAAAAACAGTGGTAATTCCTGCTTTTTCAGCTGTTAGTGAGTAATTGCTTTTATCAATAATGATAAAAAGAACATAATCACAATATTAATGAACATCTGGTTTTCTCAGATACAATCCTTACAAACAAAAATGTATAACGGTTCAAGTAAATGTTCTAACAAGCCTTCTTCTTTAGAACTCACTAACATAGACACAGCAGTAAAGGATAAACTGCAGGAGTACTGTGCAACACTATATTTAGATGTGGTGTAAATCAGATCTGGATACTTTAAAATTCCAAAGAACTTTTGGAAAAAATGCAATCCAAAATTTTACCAAACTCAAAACATAAAAACTTATAAGGATATCCGATCCTCAGCCAGGAAGGATAACTCCAAAAATTAATATTTAATTTGAAATGCATCAAAATGAAGCTTGAAAATTTTTCTTTTTCATGCAACAATTTTCATTTTATTCATCTTTATATTATTCAAGGTTTTTGGAAGTCTTAGAAATTGTCTTATAAAAGTTGACATTTGTACCCTATAAAAGGAAAAAAATGATACAGTTTAAGAGAAATAAGATTTTCTTGAATCCAGCCTGATACCAAAGCTTATTAGCATGATATGAAATAAGAAGTGATTTGTGGTGTCTTGCAATGATAGCAAAAGCTATGTATTATAGAAAAAGAAATAAAAGACAAAAAATACCAAATAAGTATAAAACCATGACAATTTCTCTGAATGCCTGGATACCTATCATTTTTTAACCTAAAATATATTTGTTGATCAATTTGCAATTAGAAAATGCATTGCTGATATTCCAATTTGCTTTTTCTGCAAAAAATATTTGAGATTTGACAATTTTCCCTATATAACATGATTAACTTTAATCTTTAACTTTAAAGAAATACTGTGGATAAATTTACATAACTTTGTGGAATCAGAGATACTTTTATGAGTATTTTTGATTACTTAGCCGCTAATTTTATAAATCTGAGGATCGGACTACCTTAAGACTTTTCAACTTTATACACAACTATTTCAATGATAAATTAAAGCGGTTGGGAGGGGATGCTTATTCCCACCTCAGTGTTGTAGACGATCGCGTGTGCTCTGCTTTACATTTGTATTTTTAATGGACTTTTTGATTCTCCATAAATTGCATACAAAGCGAGTATTTCATTAAAACAAGAGTTGACTTTGAACTAAATTCATCCTTTATTTCCCAATCTTAAGATAATTACTGTTGATACAATGATCTAGCACTCGTAATGAAAAAAGGATATTTTTCTTCATTAAAAAAAAAATAAAATCATTAATTTTAGAACTATAAAACACACTGATGAGTCCATCCCTCCTGGTTGCTTTTTTTAGTCACAGAAGCTAATTAACCACAATTACCAAAGATCTGTGTGTTTGGAGAATTTCACCTATTCTCCTATCATCTTAGACAAATTAGGTAGGATTATTCGTCTATTCTAAGACTTTATCTATCGCATATATCTGACAAGGACCTCCGTGTGTTCTTCACAAAACTAAATATTTTATTACATTGATATCTGTGTAATTTCCGATCTAAAACGAAGGCACGTAAATTTTAATGAACTAACAAAACCTTTTAACATTTTTGAGAGCCTGGGTCTATTTAAGACGCAAGCAATCAAGACTTTAAATGGGCCAGATACTGCATGAAATAAAAAGTTGCAATTTCACCAAAAAAGCAAATCTAACGAACATCACCTGATTTAAAAACAAATACAACTCTACAAAAAAAATAATAATAATAACAACAACAACAACAACAAACAACAAACAAATGTTTGATCATTTGTTAGTTATTTTTTACTGTCCCCAGTCCTGAATTTAACAATCCAGTTTTGTTAAAATTTGCAAGGTATACGGAATTGTTTGACAGGAAAGTAATGTGTACTTTGAATTTGGTTTCATATTCGTCAAGAATTAGGTAAAGTTCAAATTGTCAGAATTTTTCTTGTGAAACAAGCATTGGTTAAGGAGTTAGTCATTACACGAAGAAAATTATGTGACCAGGTTTTTAAAAAGTTTAATTGTGTGATATGCCAAACAGTCATCTTAAAATGCATAATTAGGCAAAGAAAATGCGCTTCGTTTTCAGTTTGAAGTTTAACCGATTTAGTTAATTACCAAAATGATGTCATTGTGCTATATGAATTCAAGAAACATGAATTTCACATTTTAAAGAAGGCCAGATTATTTCCCATCATCATAATAGATTCAAATTATCTTCTACGGGAGGAAAACAGCTTTTGAATAATAGTTCATTTCTAATCCTGTTCTTAATTAACTTTATGGGATTCAAAAAAGTTAACACCCTTGTACCGATTGTATACATGTATATAGATTGCAAAAGATAATCTAAAAAAATCTACTACGAGAAGAGAGAAAAATATTTATGTAGATGACCTAATATCGAGTATAGGAGCAGAGAAGGTTGTGTTGACTTTACATGACCCACAAGAGTACAGAGTTTTGAAATAAATGGATTTGGATCATTGTACTCCTATATAGAAGCCACGAAAGTAGAGACCTTTCTTCTTACTTGTTTAGCAATATATTGTTAGTGCCTGGATCTGGAGAGTTTTAAAATGTCTCCCACTGGATTCGACGCGCAAGAGCATGCTCTACATACGAGCAATTTCCAAGGAAAGGCAAGCTGTTGAGATATTGTTGACACAAAAAATATCAACAATCTCGTCTAAATTCATCATTTCGTAGGTACTTAATAGGGTCGATACTATGACCTTGTCATCAAATAATTTTTTTCATTGTGTCAAATGTTGACTGACTTTTTTCATACTGCTTGTTAACCATTATATACACACTGAATTGATTATTAATTTGTCTGTTCGCCCCAACATAACGAACTCATAACGGCCGTGACCGGTCGACAGGGGATGCTTACTCCTCCATGACATCTGATTCTCACCTCTGATGCTCTAGAGATCAGAGTTTGCTCTGCTTCCAAAGTGTTGTTTGACTGGATATTGAACGTGAATTTTATTTGACTTTTTTTTTTAATTCACAATTTATTACTCAGTTCATGTTCAATTAAAGCACACTTGAAATTTCATTAAGGAGTCAAATACCTTATTTATATGCACTGTTCCTTTTCTTTGTCTAATCATAGTAAACTTTTCTTAATTGGGGGAAATGGATGGAACCCTATTAAAAAACCACTTTATATACTATATCATTACATAATATCCTCAATATCCAAACATTTTCATTAGTGGATAGAGCGTCCTTAAAACTTAATGCGGAAGCTTTATGGACAGTGTTGATATTAGGTCCTTTAAGCTGATTAATGTCCTGTGGTCTGCACATAATGTGACTTGTTTTTTAACTTGCTAGATCTTTTCCTTGTGGTCTTTCACAAATTCCAAGAATCGCTTAAAACACAACGCAATTTGTCAGGAAAAAAATACAACAAGGAACTGACACACATACCTTTCCCGCTCTAATGT